GAAATAAGTTGCATAAGAGTAAAGCAAAGGGGAACTGTGACACCCCCCCCCCCCGCAAAGGACTCCCATGCAACAATTTACTTTTGGGGAAAAAAAGTAAATGGCCAGCAGAAGCTGTTTTCAATGGTAATAGCTGGGTAAAAAGGGGATGCCTGGAACATCTGGAGAACCTTTCTAGCCAATGTCCAATCTGGTGACTCTCCACAGCTGCTAAGTCAGTATTATTATCCCTCCTAGCACTTTCTTGCCATGTTCACAATACAAAAGAGATTCAGCCTGGGGACTTCCAGCATCATAGCTCACTATATCAGCCATTGCACCACCCTGCTGGAAGAGCTTTCTTCCAAATTATCTAGAAGAGCAGGCAGAATAATTGGGGGGGGGGGGGGTTGGTTTAGAAGAAAAATTGAAATACTTCATAAAAACCAGATTTCTAAAACAGGTCATGGTTATAATCCCTATGCTGCAATATATCAGTCTAAAGATATGTAATAGTTTCTGTCTTAATAAATTTAATTGGGCATCCTTGCATACATTTCAATATTTGTTCCCAATTTATATCAGTGCATGCTGTCTGTTCTATTCCTTCTAAGATGACATGGGTATGTGGCTGGGCCATATTGGCTGAGAATTTGGGGATCTGTAGTTTAAACATATCTTGAAGGATGACATAAATCTTAAGCCTGGTGTTTCTTTGATGAAAATCAGCATGCTTCTGATAGGGCTACTAGGGCTGCAAAAATGCAGCAACGAAGTGGTCATCTGGATTTTTGCAATCCAGATCTGGTACCTTATTGTCTGAATCAGCCTAAATATTTGAAATAAGCATTTCACCATATTTCAACGCCACTATTTACGAAGCTACTGATTTATGTAATCTGGGTACACGGAGGCCATACCTGTAGTATTCCTTATTCTATGATAACCTTAATATCATTATGAAGCTATAATACTGTAATTGTTTTCCAGAGATAGATTACAAGACAATAAAGTGATGGATTTTCTTATCTGAAATCTGACAAGTTCCTGTTGGGCAAATAAATATGAAGCTGTTGGATTGGGAATTATAAATAATTTTCTTGATTTCTTTCTTGTGACATAGCAGCCTACTTTTGATCAATGCAACTTCAGTCCAATTCATTGTCAACACACCTCCTTTTGTCTTCTTCTGACACCGATTCGTCTGTTCTGCAATTAACAGAATCACAGACAGAGTGCTTAGGTTGTTTTTATTTAATCCATTTATAGGCTATAAAGAATAATGTAAAATAAATAAATGTATACGTGCATCTGATACCAAAAATCACCTGAACATTTTATGATAGCCATTTAAAGTTAGAGCATAGCAAATTAAAAATCATTATAATATTAAAATATTTTTCAGTTTAAGTTTTGAATTTAATATTTAGTACATTTTTAATAATGTAAAAGGAGTTTTTAAAAACCCAATCCAGTGCAGGCCCAAACTTTCCTCTTATCTAAACTTTTCTTCAGAAAAGTGCACATGATTACTGTCATTTGAAGCAGAGACGTGGATCCTGCAGAGCTATCAGCAAACTGGCCTTCTGATTCATTGGAAGATCAAGCAACTGCTCACATCCTCCCTGGGTCAAGAGGGCTCACTGTGAACATTTATGTCCATATATTTCAGGAGAGCTCTTTCCTGCTTTGGCAGAAAGCTTCCTTTCTTTTTCTGAAAGCTATCCCAGAAAAGAGCTTTCTTCTTTCACTTGTGATTGCTGTTCTCTATAATGTTCACTATAGTTTCCTATAGTGGCTCTCAGTGTTTAGTAGAGGGGGACAAATTAGCAAGCTGGTTTCAAGACTGATTGAATAAAGATTACAGCATCTTAAGGGCCTAATCAGCTCTGCCTAGTATCTCCTTCTCTGTCGATGAGCAGTTGACTACCTATTCTTCTCAAGTAAGTTCAGGAAAGCAACAGTAAATGGGAAGCTTCTTGAGAACTTAGTGTTAATCAGTCCAGGCTCCTAAGAACAGCAGAGAGATACCTGAAAGGCATCTTCTCCTGTCTATCCCAGCAACTCCCATTGCTTTCTGTGATTCCTCTCACCTCTTCTGACTATTCTCTCTTGTTTTCTCCTTTCTCCACATAGTGCTTTAACATTTCTGCATTTAGAGCAGAGAAAATCCATAGAGGCCATCAGGAAACACAATTTTCCACACTCTGGGGCCTTAGCAGTGCTCCTTGCCAAGTCACAACCAAGGCAGCTGCCACAGTTCACCTTACAGAAAGGCTAGATCTGGCCAATAAAAGGAGTTGGAATGGGCATCTCCTTTTATCAAGAACAACTCTAAGAAGATGGGAAATTCCACAATGAACAAAGGCAGTTGAAATATATAAGTTTCATCATCATCCAGCCTTAGGAATTTTAAAATATGTCAGGATCTTGATATTACTCTAACAGTGTTTCTCAACCTCAGCAACTTTAAGATGTGTGGACTTCAACTCCCAGAATTCCCCCGCCAGCATTCTGGATAGGGGATTCTGGGAGGTGAAGTCCACACCTCTTAAAGATGTCAGGGTTGAAAAAAATTG